CATTTTTGTATGTTTAAACTGCCTTCTCCTAAATGTTATACAATAAGATCGTCTATAGTTAGGTTACCGGATCCTGGCCATTTTATTTCACTTATTCTCAGCATACTTATATTAAGGCGTTTCATTTTTTATGATGTTGTGAACCTTTCTTTATGGTGTTATGGACTATTCATTCTAGTATTTTAAAAGCGGAAGTAAACAAAGCCATCAAACAAAGCAAAAATGGGAAATCTCTAGGCTCTGACCAAATACCATCAGACTGGCTTAAACTTTTAGATGACGACAATGTTTCAGAACTAACAAACATTTATAACTACATATACATTTATCCCACTTCCAAAAAAACATTATACATCATCAAGTAAAGACTTAAGACTAATTAATCTTATGAGTCACTCTCTCAAACTGCTTCTTAAGATAATTCTTAATGGAGTAAAGTAGAAATATAAAGAACTATGGTAAACAAACAATTCGGTGTCAAAGAAGGATTAAGAACAATGGAAGCTTTTTTTTTCAATACTAACATTACTTTAAAGATCATAGGAAGTACACTTAATTCATTTACGTCTGCTTTATAACTTTTTAAAATCCATTTAATACGATCCAACATGATAGGCTGTTTGATTATCTTCTTCTTCAAGTGCCATCTCCGCGGCGGAGGTCGGCAATCATAATAGCTATTCGGACTTTTGAGACGGCTGCTCTGAAAAGTTCATTTGATGTACATCCGTACCACTCTCTCAGGTTGCGCAGCCATGACATTCTATGCCTCCCTATGCTTCTCTTTCCTTGTATCTTTCCCTCCATAATCAATTGGAGCAGGGTGTATTTCTCTCCACGTGTAATATGTCTGAGATATTCTAATTTTCTTGTTTTTACTGTGTTTAAAATTTCCATCTCTTTATTCATTCTTCCAAGAACTTCTTTGTTTGTGACGTGTTCTGTCCACGATATTTTTAATATTTTTCTATACACCCACATCTCGAATGATTCTAGTTTTTTCATGGATGTCGAATTCAGTCCAAGATTCCATTCCATAAAATAAAGTCGAGAATACATAGCACCTCGCCAACCTAACTCTTAGTTCCAGTTTTAAATCACTGGTACATAGCACTCTTCTCATTTTATTGAAATTCTAGCCTTCTCTATTCTTATTTTGATCTCCTGATTGTAATCATTTGTGGAGTTAATCATTGTTCCCAGATATACATATTTGTCCACTTGTTCGACGTTGGTTCCGTTTATTAGAAGATTCTCGCTATTTCTTTGAGTTTTCTACATTCTCATAAATTTCGTCTTCGTGACATTCATTGTTAGACCATATTCTTTTCCATACTCCGCTATTCTGGTCACCAGTCTCTGAAGAACTTCAATGTTTTTGGCTAAGATCACAGTCTTGTCCGCATATCTAATGTTGTTAATGGGAACTCCATTTACCTTTATTCCAGCTGTTTTACCCTCAAGAGCGTTTTTCAGGATTTCTTCGGAGTAGGCATTAAAAAGAATTGGCGACAATACGCATCCCTGTCTCACTCCACACCTAATTTCAATTTCTTCTGACAGCTGTTCGTTAACACGTACTTTTGCTCGCTGATTATAGTATAAATTTGATATGATCCTGAGGTCGTTCTAGTCAATCTTCTTTGATTTCAGGACATATATTAATTGTTTATGTCGTACTTTATCGAATGCTTTATTATAGTCAATAAAACATGCGTATATATCTTGATTGACGTCCAGGCATCTTTGTATCAGTATATTAAGCGAAAAAAGAGCTTCACGCGTTCCTAGGCCTTTACGAAAACCAAATTGTGAATCATTAACACCTATGTCCGGTTTGTGATATATTCGGTTATGGATGACTTTAAGTAGTAACTTTAGCATATGAGACATCAGGTTAATAGTATGGTAATCGCTGCAATCTCTTGCGTGTTTCGTTTTAGGGAGACAAATGAAAATCGATATTAACCACTCTTTGGGTAATACGCCTGAACTACAAATTTGGTTCAAGAGTGTCACTAAAATATCAATGTGCTTCTCATCTAGAATTTTTAGGATTTCTATTGGAAGCCTATCAGAACCGGGGCTTTCCCCACTCTTCATTGTTTTTAATGCGTGTAATATTTCTTCTTTTGTAATATATGGACCTATTTCTTCTGACGTAAGTTTTATGTGCACAACATCTCCTCTTTCATCATCGAACAATTCGTCGATATATTCTGCCCATCTTAGTACTTTCTCGTCCGCATGTGTTATAGTAGTCCCGTGTCTATCCAGAATTGCGCGAGTGGAATTTTGTTTTTTTAGTCCTGCCAGTTCTTTAACTTTCTTGTTTAGGTTAAACGTTTTGAAGATCTTCGATCTCTTTGCATTGCTCTTCAAAGTATTTTTCTTTTGCCTGCTTTATCATCTTCCTGATCTCGTGGTTTATCTCTTTGTATTTATTGTTGTCATTGTTTTTAAATTGTCTCCGTTGTTCCATCATATTGAGTATCTCGTCATTCATCCATTCTTCTTTTCTCCTTGCGGAAGTCTTTAGTATTTCTTTACAGGGTTCCAGTAGACAATGTTTTAGTCGAATCCAGTACTCGTCAATATCATTGGTGTTTGTGTTCAATTTGTTGCAGTTCACATGCAGTTCACGCAGGCATTCTTTTACTTTAGGTTTTTTAAGTTTTCTTGTGTCTATTGTAGGGATTCTTTGATGTCTTTTAATATTTTTAAGGGTAAGTGTAATCTTGGCGATAAGTGGATTGTGATCTGAGGAAACGTCTGATCCAGGATATGCTTTCACGGCTTTAACAGCATTACTGTATCTTTCATTGAACATAATGTAGTCTATCTGGTTCCTGACTACTTTCTCCGATGTATCTGCGGGCGATCGCCATGTATACAGTCGTCTGTTTGGTAACTTGAAAAATGTGTTTGTAATACTAAAGTTCTGCTCTTGACAGAATTGTAACAGACGGTCTCCTGTCTCGTTTCGATTTCACCGGGAATCGGGAATATTTCATAGAGAAATAGCATTTCACCGCTCTATTAGATTTTTTATTAACTATTACTGCCACGCCGTGTCTGTGTTGGTTATTCTCGCTACCGAAATAATATATTGTGGCTTCTTCTGTTGAAAAACAACCTGAGTTAGGCCACCTGGCTTCACTGATACTCAGTACATCGATATTCAGCCTGTTCATTTCTTAAATGACATTGTTGCATTTTACCAAACGGAAACATGCTCTAAACATTCCAGGTTCCTATTCTAGTGTTGGACATGTTTATTTTTTATCTACGTTCTTTTGACAAGGAATTCACTTATTAACGACCTGAGAGTCCTTGTCTTCTTATTCTTGCCGGATCTTGCCTTCCGAGAGTCATGATCAGTAACGCCATTATTGATTTCTAAAACCATGATGATTTTACTAGGGATACCCATAGGGATCTTTAATGTAGTGGTTTCCCCTTGCCTTCTACATTCTTATGCCGTTGATCAATATATTGGTTCCTCCACCTTCTAGGTCGATTTTTCAGCCTCAGCACAAAAGGGTGCCCTACCACCTACCAATTCTTCCGCCCGGAGCCGTTGATTAGTTAGTGTGGGATTGCTTATACCTGCAATCGGTCGGTGAAATTTTCGGTATATCTGGCTACCCTTACTTAGTTTAGCTTGTAGACTATGAGGACCAGTTATCAAGAACCATCTCCCATCTATGACGCTCGATGTAGTCGTTCCGATAAAAGGTGCTACCTCTATAATACAACCCTACAAACCCATTTGAGTATCTAGAAATAATTAAAATACGATGATAAAGGTCTGAGACATTTACAACACCTATACTGGAATCGAGAAGTTTCTATTCTGGTAGTCGGCAAAGAAACAGACAGAATTTTTATACAAAGAGGTTGTGTGTTATCCCCAACTTTGTTTATCGTGTACTCTGAAATAATATTTAAGGGTGCCTTGGAATGGCAATTTGGAGTTCGAATTGGGGAGAGAAACCATTAACATCAGATACGCAGATGACACAGCGATTATGTCTGAGAGTATCGAAAATCTTCAATTCCTTATAGATCGAGTCACTAGAGAATGCTCTCATTACGAACGGCATAAATACATAAAAGACAAAGTTACTTGCGGTAAGTAAACAATACGTTAGTCCTATGCCACTAATTGTCAACAATAAGCCTATACAACAATAGGACTACAAAAGTGAACCATTTTTAATATCTAGGATGTTAGATAAATGAGACACTAAATGTGTCGGATGAAGATATTAAAACTCGTATAGAAATTGCAAGAGGGATTTATGAAACTTAGATATATTCGTGCAATTCTCAGCTCAACTTTCAAATAAGAACCAAGTTGATAGAAGAAGAAAAAGAAGATAGAATGAAGGTTAATATGATGAACATATTAGAAGCCTTCGAGATGTGGTCATATATCATGGGTTCAAGCCTCAAAATATTATGGGCTCAATGCATCTCGAACATAGAAGTCTTAAACAGAATACGTCAAGGCGAAGGTGAAAAAGAGGAATTGGTAGGAAGAAACCTTCGTCAATGGAATGGCTTATCAGCAGATGACTTGTTACATGTAGTACAAGATCGAGAACAACATCGGCAAATAGTCATGAAAACTACCAACGCCTTATTCACGCATGATACTTAAAGAAGAATCTTTTCTGATTCGTTCATGCTTCTTACATTATATGTACCTATTTTTCATTCTTTAAAAAAATGTATTCATGCTTCTAGCTGATCCTAAGATTCTTAGTTTCCATTCTGCATTTAAGGACGCCTTTACTCGGAGCATTGTATTTATCAGTCATTTTCATGATTGTTTCTTGGGAAGGATACCTTCCTAGAGTTTGTATTAATACATTTACTTACAGATTTTTTTACAGTATTGTTGACATCTATATTATTGGAATGTGAGTGTGGTTAATAAATAAAATACAGGAGGTTTCGTCAATAAAAACAAAAGTATATTAATATTTTTTATTAAATTAAATTTAAAGTAAATATAAATCTACAATCTAATATATAAAAAGCGAATATTCACAAGCAAAATCTGATAGCATGGATATATAAAAGAAGAAAATAAAACGAAATATTTTTCGAAAGGGTTTGGCCAAATCTTACACTATGTAATTTTTTAACAATCTCAGATTTAATAGTGTAATTCTCAAAACCTCATACTTTATTTCCGGTTTGCTTTATTAAAAAGTATTACACATTATCTTCAATAAAATAGCACAATTCTCCTAATAGTTATGATTCTTAAAAACAGTTCTAATATAAATAAATAAATAATATCACCTCTTTTTCAAATATCTTTTTAGTTATAAATAGTAAATTAAAAATAAAATTATTTTACACTTAAAGTACGTTTTGTTTCCAATGTAACAATAAATATTGTGTTTAAAAAATTTAATATTGAAAAAAGCATTATGATATCCGATCTGGGCTGTAAACGTGAAATCAATAATTTATTGTGTGATTTGTGGTGTATTCGTAACAGTATATTTGAAAATTTGAGATGCACAAAAATAAACAATTTCAGAATAACATCACTTGTCTCTTAATATTTATAGACTTGGCCATTTTTAAAAAGTACAAAATATTTGTTTAAGAATCTATAAAATTTTCAGATCAAAGACGAATTCCGGGGTTTCTCGACGCAACAAAGTTAAGAAGTTCTTCACTGTCTTCACAAACGAACGGTTTAACGTGGTGACAAGCAACATCATGCCATTTCAGCCCATCATTGTAGAAATTATTTAAGATTGATAAGCAGGATTCATCATTGCCCTAAAAGAGTTTTCAGTTTAAATTAATTAAAATAAAATGTTCTTTTTCTCCTACAAACAAGTTGCACGTAAACAATAAAAAATATCTACGTCGGGTTGATTTATAAATTTCTAATTAAAATCTGAAACCTAATAAAACATACTAATTTGGATAGAAAAAAATATTTAAGTATTCAATATAATATTAAATTTGCTTTATACTGCTTGAAAATCAAACTGTTCATTGCAATTATGATTGTAACATAATATAAACTCGGTTAAACAAATCTTGCAGATATTGGCCTCCCCCTCTACTTCCACTCTGACGTCACAAGCCACGCCTGCTGACATCAAAAGATGGCGACTGACAGCTGTCAACTGTTAGCTATCATGTCAAATGTAAATTTTTTCGTCTGCCAACTGTCAATTCTTCTTTTTCGTCTGTCAAGTCATCTATTGATTATTTCTTTCCGTCCGTATCTTGGGATGGTAAATACGATAATACGATTTTTAACCGCATTATGAAATAATATGTTTCTGATGAAGAAAACAAGGTCACGTCTGTCATCATTGCTTTTGATATTATCTCTCGCAGTTGCACACATAACACAACCAACAGAAATTTTAGCAGAGTAACAATTTAATAATGAGAGGCTTAAAATATATAACAAAAATAAACAGCAAAAAAATAAATATGATATGTGTCATTGAATTTAAAAAATTAAATAATTAAAAAAATATAAATAAATTTAAAAAATCTCACTAAAAGAAATAGACAAAGCCATAAACGAAAGAGGAAATTGGAAAAGGCCAAAAATCCGTATGGATTAACAAGAAGACACAAAATAAAAGTGGAACCAAAAAACAAACATTATAGAAAAAACTACAAAGAAAACAGTGCCAGCTAATTCAAAAAACCAGTGGAAGAAAATATATGGACGCGACGGAAAATGGAAAAAGAGCAGAATAAGGACATGAGTGAATATAAAGATAATAACCCAGACAGAAAGAAACCACATTTAAAGAGCAACATAATGACAAACAGGGAAAAGGCCACTTTTAAAATGCAACAAAATGTAAGAGACATGAACGTGTAAGAAATAGAACGTGAAAGAAATAGAAGATATGAAGATTGAAGTTGTAGCTAAAACAGAGACAAAAAGGAAAGTAAGAGAAACTACGATATTGAAAAAAGGAAACTTACTAATATATAGTGGAGTAAAAGAGAAAAAGAGAGCCTAGGCAGGAATAGTTTGCCTGTTAAAAAAAATATCATCAATAAAGTAAGGAATTGAATATATTTCAATGAGCGTATATTTACAGAAGGGCTCAAAGGAAGCAATTAAAAACCTAATTATATGCTAGATACCGATAAAAATATGAATGCTGGATTGGGAAAAGAAGTAGACAAATTAAACTATGTTATAGTACCATACATGGAGATCAAAATCAACAATAATGGAAAGCTATTGCTTGAATTCTGTTTAGACAATAACATGATGATTATAAATAGATCTTTACAAATTCCAATATAAAACGATACATGAGATCGTAATGTCATCTCAAGAATCAAGCAATTATTAATTATACTGTTGCATGCAAAAAACCGAGAGAGCTGCATAAGAGACGCAAGGGTGAGAAGAAGTTATGAAATAGGCAGTGACCACTACTTACTGAAAACTACATTTTATAGCAAATGAATATAAATAAAAAGCACAGAAGATAAGAATAAGAAATACAAGGAAATAATTAAAATATAGAAAATAAGATAAGACAAAATGCAAATCTGCTATAAGGAGACGTTAGAGAAGGTAATGGACAAACAAGGAGAAATGACAGAAATAGTAGAAGTATTAGATGAATTAAAAAGAAACAAATAAAAAAAATTAGAAATTGCGGAAAGAATATACAAAAGACAAAACGCAATAAAAATATGAAGGATACAAAATACAAAGAATAAAAGTTAAAGAAATAGTCAAAAATGAGAAAAAGAAAAACTAGGACAAGTTCGGAGAAAAAATGAGAGAAAACAATAAAGAAAATGTAAAATTGGTTTATAGAACACTGAAAAATCTACGAAGCCACAAAGTAATAAAGCTAAAAGATATATTGACCAAAAAAAAACGGTACAATATTAAACGATGACAAGGATATACTAAAAAGATGGAGAGAACATTTTAAACAACTGTTGAACAGAGAGTAAGGAAAAGCTTAGGTAAAAGTAGCTATATAGGAAGAAGAACAATAGGAAGCAGTAGGAAAGACAAATACTGGAAACGCTCCTGGAAGTGATAAGGTTAAGAATTATTATCTAAATAATTTCGCACACTGGCAGCATAGTGGGGCGTAGCTCCGTCTTGCCGAAATATGACGTTTTGAGGGAACTCTTGCAGATGATTTGTAATTATATCATTCATTACAAGCGTTATCTAGATCTCCAGCTTGCAACCATTTAAATTACCCTCAATAATTATTGGGCCTACAATATAGTTACCTAATATGCCTGCCCAAACATTTACTTTTTATGAAAATTTCGTGTGACCTCAAAATAATCTGGGATTTTCATCAAACCAGTATCTAACATTTTGACGATCAACGTGACCATTCCAAAAAAATGTTGCTTCTTCACTAAAAAAAAATGTATTAAAGATAATTAGAATTATGTGCAATATTATTTATCATGGTTTTGCAATATTCCATCCGTCTATCTGGGAAATCCTCTGTTAATTCTTGAACCATTTTTATTTGGTAAATATAAAATTTATTTTAGTCTTTAAAATTGTTTTCTGATCTACTTCACAAATGTGAGCAACAGCTTTAGTAGAAATATGTGGATTAAGGACAAATTCACTTAACACAGAAATATGTTTATCTTCGGCTAGATGTTTTTGTCCTGTCCGTTTCTTATTTTGAACACTACCAGTCTCAAAAAAATTGTTTACAACGACTTAAAATAGTACCTGTCTATTAGACGGTTGGGATAGCGTTTATTAAAAATTCTTACCGACTCACGGTAATTCCGACGAGCTCCACCGCAAATTGTTACCATTTCGCATTTTTCATGTAAATTACGAGCTTGTTTACAATAAACAAAATTTCTTTTAAAATAGCAACATAACTAAAGTTATTAATTCTAAAAGGTGTTTTTTTAGAGGTATAGAAATGCAAGTCGGTAACACTTTTTTAACTGTCGGCCATTTTGACAGCTGTTAAGTGATTTATGTTAAGTTTGGTTTAGCATTTCAGCATGACTAAATTTGACGCCTAAACAACGCTTTCAAATTGAATAAATTGATTTTGAAAATTGTGGTCCCGTTCGAGAAATGTATCGCGCACTACATCCATTTTATGGTCAATATAATAGTCCATCAGAGTAGGTAATTCGATCTTGCTTTGCGTGCTTACAAAATCCAACTCATGTAAGAATTGAAGGTACATTATAACCTAGCAAGGCATACATGCGTATATTCGGTGAGTGGGTCCAAAATGGGATTCCCGTTAATTCGGTTTTCATAAACGAATTTCGTTTACCGATGAAGCTCACTTTTGGTTGAATGGCTACGTTAACAAGAAAAACTGCACCATTTGGAGTTAAGATATTCCTCAGATGTATGTTGAGAAACCATCACATCAAGAAAAACTGACTGTTTGGTGTGCTTTATAATCTGGTGGAATCATTAGACCATACTTCTTCAAAAACAATGCTAACTAGAATTTTAAACTCAGTGGTGACCCCTATCTAGCCTTGATTACTGCCTTTTTCATTTCCCAATTGAACAACCGTGATGTATAGGAGCTGTCGTTTCAATAAGATGGCGCAACATGTCACACAGCTCGTGTCAAAATTGATTTATTGAAGAAATCGTTTGGTAACCGCATAGTTTCACGTTTCGGACCGTGAATTGGCCTCCAAGATTTAACACTGATAGACTATTTTATGTGTGGATATGTGAAGGTGCCAGTCTATGCCGAGAACCATGAAACGATTGACCACTTGGAGGACAACATTCGCAGCGTTATTGCCGATATACGGCGACAAAAATTGATAAAAGGGATCTAAAATTGGACCTCCAGTTTAGACTATAAGAGATCCAGCCATAACGGCCTTATGCCAGAACCCATATTTAAATTATAATTACAAAAGATTATCTTTCGAATAAAGTCAATTTTATGACAATTTATAAAAATCATCTTTGTTTTATTCCATTTTAAAGTTCAATACCTCTAAAAAAAAAACACCCTTTTTTGACCAGATTTAGAGGTACGTTGGTACATTGAAACTATTTCCCCCATAATTAAGATTCTATAAATTTTCGATACAAAGTATTATGCATTTTTCAAATCAGCATTTCAAAAGCTTTTAAATGAGATGTAACATGATGTATTTTTCTTTTTAAAAAAATCAAAGTCATGACTGTCACCTGAAGAGAGATCACGTAAAGTTCGAAACATTGATGCTATAATATACTACGATTATTTTAAAACTCTCCGAAAGTTTTGCTTCCGTGTAAAAAATGAATAAGTCAATAGGGGGTGGGAGGTACCACTTATTCTAGCGCATGGTATATTAAAATAATAAATACAATAGTAACACAAAATATGAGATCGCAACCATTTAAAACAACGTAAGAAGAACAGGGGAAATGGAACTGAGCCGGACACGTCGCCCAAATGAGTGATGAAAGGTGGACGAAGAGATTGCTTGAGTGAAGGCCGAGGTTAGAGAAAAGAAGTAGAGTAGAGTAAAGAAGTTGGACTGACGATATCAAGAAAATGTTATGAAATTTGATGAAAAGTGCTCAAGATAGAGCACGATGGACAAAAATGGGGGAGGCCTATGTCCAGCAGTGGGCACAAAGGGCTGGGTGATGATGTCAAAGAAGTTAGACAAGCAGGTAAGTTAAGCCCAGTACTTTTTATAAATGTAATAGAGGAGATATCTAGTGAAATAATGTAAGAAAACAACAAAATACTGTATAGGATATATTAGAAAGCAGATGATAATTAAAATGAATTACAGAC